GGCTGCGCGTACGCGCAGCCGGGTAGCCGCGGGGGGGCCGAGGACTGCCCCCTCCGCAGCTCTCCCAAAAGCTTAGACATATTTCTTTTCAATTCTTTTTTTTTTTTTTCTTGGCTCAGCCTACACGAGGCATGCAACCCTAAGTCATTACGTTTAACAGCGGTTCAAACGCTTTTGAGGCCCAAGGAGATGATGAGCCTGCTCGCCCTGCCAGTGCAACACCTTATTTTTGAGAAGCAAACCAAGCCCCATAGCCCAGAGTTACAGATCTTGGCAGCGTACGTGGAAAAGGACAAACCGACCCAACCCAGCCCCGCGCCGACATGGCAGGAGAGCCGTAGCTGCCGCCCGGCCCGCAGCCCGGTTTGCCAACAGCAGCCAGGGTTATGACGGTCTGATGAAACGCAGCGAAGAGAGCCGCGCAATTAAATATTCCCTGGGCAAACGTGGCCTTTGTCACACTTAAGCGAAGCCCGGACCAACACCTTTAGTTATATCGTGCATAATGACCTTCCTCAAAGAATAAGCGATGTTGCTTAGCCACTTGCAGCAGCTTGGGAAGAGCCACCGCTCGGCTGCGGTGTAGGGCTTGCCTGTTCCCTCGGAGCCATTCGGAAAACATTTTGCCCTGCCCTGGTTGTGCCTGTATTGGCTTGCGCTAAAGCGTTACGCCTGCTGCAGCTCCAGAGGTCATCGAAGGCAATTCCAAACGGGAAGTGCAGGAGTGGAAATGCCAAATGGGATCGGGGGGCTTCTCGGGCCCGCCGTGTCTCACTCCAGCCGCCTCCCTACCTTGCAAAAAGCCACCCCTTTAGCTTGCATTTGCCGATGCATTAGTTGTGACTGCTGCGTGGTAGATGCTGACGGGGCGAGCAGCGGGCTCGGCGTGGGGGGCATTGGGGCAAGGGTGCTGCAGGCACGGGCATGCTGTCTTTCAGGACTGGGTGCTGAAAGGAGACGTGCTGGGAAATAGGTTCTCCAGCTTCTGTTCAGGGCCAGCGCTTCTCCCTGCGTCTGCCCAGGGTGCGTCCTCACCGGGTAGTCCGCCGGGTAGTGTATCGCAGGTAAAGATACCACATGGTGAGACCCCCCCTCTGGCTCACCTGCCCACTGTGACTAGTTGTGGCCCATGGTGGAGGACAGTCAGCTACGGTGCACTCACGCAGTCTGTGTGTGGTGGAGGCCTATCGAGCACAGCTCTCCTCTCCTAGGAGAGGAAGGCTGTCAGACGCATCTTTAGAAACATCCTTCTGTTTTGACGGATAGTCGTGATTTCCCAGCAGGTCAGCGTCTGTGCGGAGGGAAGCGAATATGGCCAAGTTGCGTTCACAGAGCTTTTCCAGCTCCACCTTGATCTCTGCCAATTCACGAGCTGATTCTGCAGTTCATTTTTTGAGATGTGGGTTGGTTTGGTCACAAAAGGTTGCCCTTGTTGCGGTTCCTGCAGGAGGAGGGAGATAAGTTGGCCCAAGATTGGAAATGTTTGTAAGCCCATCTTCTACAAGATTCCTAGGGTAGTGGGGCATCTTGCCCATTATCTGAATTCCTGACTGTGCTGTAAGCATGGCTTATACAGTATAGTAAATGAGATAAAATGCCCTTTTTTTAAAAGGGGAGAGGGATAGTTTAATATATGCATAGGGTAACTGTGCTGTCTGTGAATAAAATGGAAAAGACCTGGAAGTTGCAGAGGGTGTTCTATTGGGTTAACTAGCAAGCCTTCCTACCATTAAAACTTCAAAGTAGATTTCAGACTTGATGCTTATTGAGGCCGAATCAAAATTGTATTGTAGCTGACTAATTTTGCAGCTAAAATTAAAACGTCTCATAAAAATAAGCTGGAACATTTGTTATAGTTTTCATTTGCAGAATGCATTTAGAAATTTACTCAAAAGTTAATTTTCAGTCAGAGACGAAAGATGCTGCCACCTATTGTAATATGAACAATTAATTTTGAGAGTTGCTACCAAATCTCCGTATTAATATTTTCAATGAGCAATGGAGAACCACCTGTCCCTCAGTGGCTATGAGGTGTGCAGATACTGGAGAGACCAGGCGAACATGCAGCACAGTAAACAAAAATGCCTTGAGAATTTGGGAACTTTGAGAGCATGGGGCTCCTGCAGCTCTCGGTTAATTTTAACAAACCAATCCTTGACACACTGATTTATTTGTTTTACTGCAGAATTTGTGCTTCAGATGCTTAAGGGGAGTGCTAAGTAGAAATTGGAGGGTCCCTGGCCTTTGAAATAGTTGCTTCTGCAAAATAAAGCTAAGCTGAATTTGTACATGCTTCTCCTTTGGTTCTCAGGCTGCTCTACCAACCCCCTTTCACTAGTTGGTAACGCTGCCCCCCAAAGAGACTTTTCACACAAAACCTTTCTAAGAAACTTGTGCCAAATGGCAGGGCAGGGTGGGGGGCACAGACAAAATAAAACTCTACCTCTTTAGTTGGCAGGTTGAAACAAGCCTGTGTAATTAGATTGTTAATCCAGGAGATTAATTTGACTAGCCATTTCTTGGAACTCTGTGAAGCAGCAGAGTTAGAAGAATTACCAGTGGTATCGGAAACATTAACTGAAAAACACAGAGGCTTTTTCTTGTTTATTTATTTGGTACCACATTAAAACCCTGTTTGTAATGGCTGGGTGGGGGTAGTACTCTGTAGTCTCTCTTAGTGTGTTTCTGCAGACAGTAAGAGATCTGGAGTAATTCCCTTGGCAATTATCACACTATAGAGCCAAGTGGCCTCAAGCAGAAGAAAAACCGAGTGTACAGCCAGAAGTGTTTTTACCTTTAAGCTCAAGCCCTCTCAGGCGATTGAGCCAAATTCCATTCTGAACACCTTATTTGCTCCCACTTTCTGTCTCCTGAGATCACATTTCCCGCATGTGACTCAAGATGCTCTCAAGATGGAGAGGCTCAATGGAAGCCTGAAGAAAAGAGCGTGTGACCCAGAAGGGCGGAGGAGCCTCTCCCCCAGGACTTGCAGTGGAGAGCGCAAAGTCTCTCTCTTTACCCTGGTAAATGGAAGTATGGTCTGGAGAAAAAGGGTGGCGAGCTCAGAGAGAACAACCTGGAAGCCTGTGTGGATTTCTTACAGCCGAACGTAAACGTGCAGACTGTAATGAGTACCAAGGATGTAGCGGTTCCTGGAGAGGGCTCTTCACAGAGGTGTTGGCCAGTGGGGGTGACTACAGGGCGTGGAGGTGGAAAGGTCTGCCTTCTTGATGGGAAAAAAAATGAGCAAAGCCCTACACATACCTCCCTCTGCAGGACCGGGATTTAGGAATGGAGTAGGACTTGGACATTGAGGTTTTAGAAATGCCTTGCTGTTAGCAGATGCTGCATTTATGTAGGTGATGAAGGTGAATGAATGTCTGTTCTGGCGGTCTCTGGATGCATAGGTACAACTTAATACTCACCTTGTGCTCCTTAAAGAGCAGGGGTGAGCCTAGCTGTCTGGGTTACCCTGTAATCCTCTCGTACCTGGGCTGTGCAGCAGAGATCTGTTAGCAGGGCTGAGATTTGTGTTAACCTGAAAGAAGGGATTTTCTTTTTCTTCTTTTTTTTTTTTTTTTTCCCCCAAACGTACTCTGCCCTGATCATGCAGTGGTTTTTCTTTTCTTCCCTTATTCACATTCCTTTCTGAGGATCAGCAGTGTGAAGGTCATTAAAGCTGTACCCTGCAGAGCAGAGGTCACTGTATGCTCTTAAACGTCTGCCGTGATGCAGATAAAAGAGCCCCTGAAAAAATTCAAGGGTGTTGTATTTTTGTGGACCCCATCTTCACTGCCAGCAGGTTGTAAAGAGGTAACTTGCATTCCTCGCTGGAGAGCAGCGTGGCTGTGCAGGGCTGGATCTCCCCTGGGCTGGGAGCCTGGCTGCCCTGCGTCTGGAGGCAGTTCACAGAAACAGCCCCATTATAGGTTTTCAGGGCTTTTTGAGTTTCTCTGGAGCAGCTTTGACTGCTCTGTCTCCATTAGGGAAATGGGATGGTGGTGGTGGGGGAATATAAAGCTGCAAGGACTGCCTTGTGAATTTAAAGTTGTATTTTTATAACACAGTGTTATCTTTAGGGCATAAAGACTGGATACATGCAAATGTGGATATAGTTGTAATTCTTGCTGTTCTTGTGGCAGGGTTTGTGGTACAAGGGTTGGGCGCTCGTCCCTGGGGAGTGGAGCAGTGGGCAGGAGTATGTCTGTCCCTTGTCTGTCCAGGAGAATCCGAAGAATGCAGCCCTGTCTGTCCAGAGTCTGACTTTGAGCAGAAGCAGACAGCTGTTTCGGGGGTGTCAGAGGTCCCCCATTCTTGTAATACTTCTGATGGCTTTGAAAATGGCTGATCTGTCATTGACTTCTTCTCTGACAGAGATGCTGTTTGTCACTGAACACAGTGACACACTATTATAAGGGAACGTGCATGCACCCCATGATTTTCATGATCTCAGCTGTCCTGTGTGCAAGCTTTTTCTTTTTTAAATTTTTATTACCATCGTGTTAGGATATAGTACTGGAGGGGGAGAGGAATGGAGCCAGGGTACTTAGAGAAGGTAGTTCTGACTCTTTAATTGTGTAGGTGTTAAACAAGAAACTATTATAACAGAGGCTAGTCCCATGCATCTTGACTGAGAAACCTCATAAGGAGCTTTTCTTTTTCTCCACTTTGGAGGGAAGTGTTTCTTGGTGATAGTGCAGAATTTCTAAGCACTAAGAGTAACTGAGCGGCATACCACCCCCCCATCTCATGCTTTGATGTTAAATGTGAACTTGAAGGATACCTACAGCATCCTTTGTTGCAGCATTAGCACTTGCGTATTGAGGTGATGGGCACATTGAGAACACCTAAGAGTGTGCTGAGTGCCAGGAGCACCTTATGCTAAGGAAAAAGGAAAGGGAAAGGCCTTTCATCTTTGCCTGATGGAGGAGATCTTGGTTTAACGAGCTGTTTGTGTTAATACAATTAATGCAAGTGCACTCCAGCACTTGGCTAATGACTGAGTTGTACTTTGGCTCTCTTTATTTGTTTTGTCTTCTTTCCTTTTGTGTTTTCTAAAGGTGACAGGGGTCTGTATTTGAAAACTGACATGTCTCGTATGTATATGAGATATATATCTCTCTATACCAGATCACTGGCTGATTCAGTTTTGAACGCTCTGGGTATGGGGAAATGCTAAAGGTGGCAATTGTTGTATAGGGGGTTTATTGAAATAGGCAAATTAGATACAGGGCACTTGCCTGTTAATTAGCCAGTTAATTCACTCAACTAACTGGGTCTGGTCCAAGCAGAAAGGGAGCTTTTTAAAATTTTGTTGAAACTGGAAATTCTCTCTTCATTGGGGAAAATGCCCCATTTCAAGCAGCTGATGCCTGTGATTTCGGTGATGCTCTCCGAGGCTGTTGTTAGCCCGTGAACCCCGTCCCCGGGAGTCCAGTGGTTCTTGTTAGGCTTTAGCTGTTGCTGGGTTCTTGCCTTGCCTTGGAGGGCTCAGACAGGTATTTTACATCCCTGACTCCAGAGCTCAGCCCGCTGAAGCCTGGTGAATTATGCTGGCTGTGCATGTGGCTTGGGGGCAAGGAGTTGGTTGTGTTATTCATAGGCGCTCCCTTCCAGCATGCCAAAGAGCAAACTGGGTACTTGTCTACAAAGGCAATTATTTCACAAGAAAGTTGCTGTAGGGAGCAGCAGGAGCCAACATGGTTAATAGAGAGAAAAAAGATTCCCCTTATCTTTTTTTTTTTTTCCTCCCAGTGCGTATGTGCCTCTTAAACCATTTTTCAGCCTGATCTTGCCTCTGAAATAGGTCTGCGGCTTCTTGCTATAGGCTAGACTTGCCCTTAGCATGAAATGTTAACTGCGTCGGGTTATTGCAGGCTGCTACGGCTGGTGAGGAACAGGCAGCAGACTGCATTTCCAACCTTGTCTGGGTGAATATCAGCTCTGCGCTTCCCACAGCAAGCGAAGCGGAGGGGAAGGGGACGGGGTCACGGGAGTGCCTTAATGTGGAGTCTAAGGGCTAAGTGACGACTCCTGAAATTGCTCCAACGTGGGAGCACTGAGGGTCCCTTGCAGGCTGCCTTTCAGCACGGGTGGTGGGTGCTGTCCCCTGGGTCATCCAGGCGTTGGGGTGGGGAGACACATGGGAAGGGGAGGCTTCACTGTGCTAAGGTTGGACTTGGCGTTTCTCTTTTTAGAAACGGAGAGTGCTTCTAGCTGGCCTTGGATTTTTTTTTTTTTTTAGAAGTTTGATTGAGCTGATAGCTCTGCCGTGGCAGAGGCTCCCACAGTGGTAACTGGCACCACTTACTAGTGGCACGGGGCACAAACTGCGACTGGGCCAGGATCGGTCCCCAGGTGTTTTCCAGCTCTTGGGGACTGGCAGAGGGGGCAGGCAGCACAGCCTTCTGCCTTGCAGAGGGTACGAGCATCTTTCTTCTGATCAGTTGTGGCAGCCGCTGTGAATGTGCTCGCTGAGCTTTATATTTAAACCCTGACGTCTTCCAGGAGAGCTGGTCATCTCAAAACGCCTGCGTGGGGTGGGGGACCATCAAGGCAATGGTTTTTTTCTTTTAAAGTCGGACTCTCTGTTTACCAGGTGTCTGTGTTAAAACTTTGTCCTATTACTTCAGGTAGTGTTCTCCATTAAATAGCGTACACGCCTTGGGTACATTACAAGAGCTGTTGTGTAATAAGAGAGGGTCTGTTCAGGCAATATTACTGACCTGACCTCCCTTTGTCCTCTTTTGTGAATCGGTGGGTGGCAGCAACAGTGATGCATCAGTACCCGTGGCCCAAAGCTGCTCTGGCTACTGCCCATCGTCACTAATAACATAGTTTTTGACAGACTGAAGGGTTTTTTACCCATCATGTGTAGCTCCTCTTTGTGGGTGCAGTCGGCCTGGGGAGAGGACCCTTGTTTCCTCTTTCCAACTCGATGCCTGGTGGGCCCTCGCGGGCTGTTGCATCCCGTGCATGCAGAAGGAGGGCATGGCAATTAAGGGTCTTGACCTGGGAGGCTGCAGCTTGGACTGAGTAACGCTTAGCGCTCTGCAGGGTCAGGCTGAAGTGACCTGTAAACAACCCAGAGGTGCTCATTACACGTGCCGGCGCTGGGCCTGTTACATCACTGAAAATACCATGCTGGGAGTTTTCAGCATCCGCTGGAGCTGAGTGAGCATAGTATTGGAGTTGCCAAATCTGGGTTTTGAGGACAAGGAGGCTTTTGCTGTGTCCCCCTAGCTACAGCGGGCAGCTTGCTCCTCTACATGCTGGGTCCTGGGGATTCCTCTCGCAAGGCCTGGGTCTGCGCGCTGGCAGCCTGCGCCAGCAGGGCAGCTGAAGCAGCGCTGTCCGTGCTCACTCCTGATTAACACAGTCTTATGACTCACAAAAAGTTAATGACTTCAGCCCAAGGAGTTATGGCGGTGGTAAATCTGGGCACTACATGTATCGTCCTTGTTCTTAACAGCACAGCATAAACATCAAAGCGGGGAGATGGGCTTTATGCTAGGGATATTTGCACTGTTGAAGTGTACAACTCGCCTGTGGCTCAGCAGCTGTGAGGCTGCCTACCATTAGAAGCATAAAACAAAGTTAGTAAATGTGGAAATATGCCTAGAGTACAGGCTGGTGAGATGTAGCGTGGTTCAGCCAAACGATGATCATGAAATGTGGTGTTCAGTTTCATAAGAAATGTTTTGTGCATGTTTGGGATGGGGAGAAACAGCTACTCCATCCTTTAACATCTGTTCTTTTCTACCCAGGGAGCGCATGGAGTTACTGGAAGAAGCCAGGAAGATGGAAATGGCAAAGTTTCGCTACATCCTTCCTGTTTACGGCATCTGTAAAGAGCCGGTTGGCTTGGTCATGGAATACATGGAAACGGGGTCTTTGGAAAAGCTCCTGGCTTCCGAACCTCTGCCCTGGGAATTGCGCTTCCGCATCATCCACGAGACAGCTGTGGGGATGAACTTCCTGCACTGCATGTCCCCTCCGCTGCTCCACTTGGACCTCAAGCCTGCAAACATCCTGCTTGACGCCCACTACCATGTCAAGGTACGCACTGGGCACTCTGTGCCTTTGGATGTTCTTGCATGGCTCCTGCCAAACTCAAAGGCCTGAGAGAAACCAGCAGCGTTCCTTTTGAATTAGAAAAATGTCCACCAACCCAACCCCTCCAATCCCCAAACTTACCTACCCCATTTATGCACCATTGTGGTACATAAATAGAGGTAGAGTTAGGGAGCTTGTGAGAACTCTCCTTATTTTAGGAGGGTGCTAGTGTAGCGAACTCTGGTTTTGAGACCTAATGGTTCCTGCTATAAATTTCTTTGCAGTAGGGTCATGAGGCAGATGAGAACAGGGAGAGAAAAGCAGTGTGAACCTCTAAGTCATGTATGCCCCTTCCACAGCTCGCAGTGGTAACCTTGTTCTGTCTAGGTCCTTCTGTCTTTGTACGCTCCACTAAATACGCAAATCTCATTTATAGCTGGAGTCCAGAGAAGCCTTCCAGAGGCAACTCGTTTTCTTCTTTCATTTGCTTAGAGAATACAGTGAAGAAGTATCTCTGTCCTGCTTGTTTATGCATACCAGAGGTCACTTAAGGGAATTTTTGTGGCTGTATCAGCATGAAATTCTTTTCATTATCCATTTCCAGAGTAAGCTAGCAAACTGGTTGGCCCTCTCTGTTGGAAGTTCTGTTTTGACTGCTGGACTAAGGAGGTTGTGCTTGCTTTCTGATCCTTCCTTTTGGAAAGAGACTGAAATACACCTGATTTCGTCGTCGTCATTGTCCCGTCCCGCCCCCAAGTCAGTGGCCAAACTCTTAAGCTTAGAACTGCAGGATTAATCATGCTGGCTGGCTGATATAACTCAGTACAAGTAGTCATAGGTTTTTATCAGTGCCATCATCCATCTGCTCCCTGTTTTCCTGTCCCCCTCAAACTAGCCAAATGGCTTTGGTCTTGCTGTACCGTTCTAAAAATGAAGTTTTCATTAAATGAAAACATCTCTCCTGATATCATGAGACGGCTTGAACCTGTAAGAGGTGTGTGCCTCTAATGAAATCACACCTGTGACAGTCTCAGCTTTTTACTAGGCCTCAGTGGTTTACTTCTTAGAAGGATTTTCTTTCTGAGATAGGAGGCATCTACAGGTGGTCCATGGTATTATGGCCAGAACATCAGGATCTGAACTGTTGAAAGGGTATTCTCACACATCGGTGCTGAGAGGCCTTTGCTAAGTATTTATTTACCTAAAGTTTGTGCTTGCTTGCATAACTTCTTAAATTCCTAATTCTTGACTCATCCATGAGCCAAGACATGAAGGCTGTATTTTTCTCACACTTTCAGGAGGTTGAAATGCTGCCTGATATTCTGCCTGCTGTATAGCCTGTATCTGGGTGGTGATGTAATACAAGGGGGCAAAGTGCAAAATGTACCAAAAAAAAAAAAAAAAAGTATCTGGTGAGGTCATTGCTGACGTCCCTGAACTGTTGCTGCTTGCTCTGTATATGAAACACATGAAGGTCTTCGGACCCTTTCCATTAAGTTCAGAAAAGAATCGTCTAATCCAAACTTTTTTCCAGCCAGCAGTCTCACATCTGCAAGTGTCTTGGAAACCCCTCCAAGCAGCAAAGCAGACATAGGAACCTATATGCAAAATAAGAGATGTACATATTCTGTAAGGTGCCTTCACTTTAAAAATGTGGCCCCAAACCTTCTTTTTGTGTGATGTGAAACTTGTAATTAAATTTCAGACCCTGCAGCTTGATTTAATGTGCCTTTTCTTGCTGGAAGGCTAATGGAGCTGATGATTGAAGTGTTTTTACTTTTTAAATGTTAGCGTTAATTTAGTACGTGACCTGTCCCTAATAGAATCCTAAGGTGAGTGAAGAGATGTTGCAGACTGCAAAAGAAGAGTTTGGAGGTAGGGAGGACTTTTATAAACTGTTTGCCCTAAAGCCAGGAAACAGTCCGTCTTCCAGTGGAGCACATTAGAAATGTTTCTGTGCCATATTGCTAGTTAAATGGAAACACACCCTTCTTTTACGAGCACAATGCTTACTGTAGAAACCCCAAGTGAGAATGATGACTAACGCAGTAGCGTTGTACAGAACTTATCATCAAGTGGGTGCCTCCATATCATAAAGCCGTCTCCTGCATATTACATAAGTGTGTGCTGAATTTTGTTCTTGGGAGGATAATTAAGAGGATGGGATTAGCCTGAGCATTGAGTGGGGATATAGATAGACAGATATTAACTTTGTCAAAGGGACGTTGGGGGATTCCTTGGTGATTTTACATATATGTATATAATATCTACAACGCAAGGTAAGGCTTTGCTGTTTTTTGGAGGATGGATGCATGCGTGCATGCGTGCCTCCTCCCCTGCCAGCAGTGGTGGAGCTCAGTACTGACAGGAGCCTCAGCCGGGAGCTCCCTTCCCCACCATGTCCTGCTCCATCTCGGTTGCCTTAAGCAGCGTGGTTTCCTTGGGAGGATTATTCCATATCCAGGCAGGCTTTGCTAGCAGGGATCAGCCCGCATTTTTTTTTTTCCTTAATGTCAATCTGTTACTTCTATTTGTACCAACAATATCCTCCCTGCCCCTTTCTCCAGTGCTCCATACATGCCACCTTCCAATACTTACGGGCTGTCTAACACCTAGTTTTTTCTTAACTGGACGATGTCTTATGAGCGTGTTCTTCAGCTCTCCTGCCCTCCGTACGCATTCTGGACGTCTCCCCTGAGCTCCCTGCAATGTGGCGATCGCTTGCAGGCAGCTGGCGCTGGGGAAGCAGTGCCACATTCCAATGGGATCTCTCTCCAGGGCCCTCGGTAGGAGAACACAGGCACGCGCACGCGTGCACACACACACACACCACACACCCCCCCCCCCCCCCCCCCCCCCCCCACACCCCCCTGCAGTAATCTCATACCGTAACTTGTTGCCAGCTACCATGCCCACATGCGCTCTCTATTGCTGCTTCCCAGGTTTCTTATCTTCAATATCTCATGGTTAAATGTGTTACTTTTTGTTCAGGTATTTAAAATGAAGTCAGCCTGCAACTTAATACTTTTGGGCAAAAGCATTATTTGTAAGTTCTTGTTTCTCTTACTGTCCAGTCTGTTTTTTGCAGCTCCTCATCTTACCATATATATGTATATATATACACACATACTTACACACATGCACATGTACATACGTGTGGGTACACACACACACAGAGGCAAATCCCACCAGTTATTTTTCATCTCCCAGATTTTGTTTTTAAAGAACTTGAAGCGGGATGAGCTGGTCTTGGCTGTGCACTGCTTTAAGCTCACTGTAGTTGCTTTTATTTTTTTCCCCCAGTGCTCCAATTTTTAAACCAGTGTGAAAGTGAAGTTTGCTGATGGTCTTACTAAACATGGATAGGTTGCTTCTGTGGTCTTCACCTTTATTTGCTTCAGCTGAAGAAGGGGCTGCAAAATTTCTGAGTGTGGAGTTAGAAGAAGCCTAGTGAGATGGCAAATTTGTTTATCAGAAACCTGCTTAATGCAGGTTGTTAACAGTAGGTCAAAGTAATACCCAGAGGCCAGGCTGGTAAAGAGCGGGTATCTCTTTATTAGACTAGCTGATGTAGTTAACACAGACACTTTTTTTTATCAGCTGCAAATGCTGTCTTGTTATTTGAAATGAGAAGAGGCTTTGTTGCATGTCCCTTCTCCCTGTTTCCCACCCCTCCTGATCAAGGTTTCCATGTAGGGCTGTGGTTACATGGCTCTTTAATCCCAACCAAAAAAGCTGGTTTTCACCTTGATCAGTTCTCTAATGGATCTAATTGTGGTGGCACAGGGGGGAGAACAAGACCACCCCTGTTACAGTAATGCAGATTTCTGATGGATTAAAATGGATGTTTGACCGTGGCTTTGGTTTCTGCCTCTTCTGAAGAGAGCATTACAAATGTCACACCCGAAACAGGTTTTGAGGAGTTAAGGTTTCAGGACAGGTTGGAAAAGGATAGAAATACAGTCTGTTTCAGAAAGACTTCTTTTTGAGGCTAACTGAAGTGTGTTTGTAAACACTGAAGTAAAGACATATGGTTGAAGTGCAGATGCTGGTTGTGTCTACACTTGGAATTAATTTTTATTCCTAATTTTTAGTAGTCCAAATCTGACCTGTGTAAGTCTCTTAAAAATTTCTGGCATTTCTTAAAGAACAAAATTGAAACAACCAGCCTTTGTGCCCTACCCCCAGAAAAACAAACAAACAAACAAACAAACAAACAAACAGACAAGGCCAACACCCCCCCCGCCCCGCCAAACACCTGACAACCCTGTAGACAAATGCGGTGGCATTCTCAATATCCAAGTGCACAGAGACTTTGGACAGAGGCAGATACTGGATATGCCAGCAGTGATTAAAATTTAATCTGATGGCTTTGTTACCTATTTGATGAAGAAGACCTTTTGGTGAACTCTGTCCTTGAGTCCGTTGCAGTGGGTTCTTGAGTCTTGTTTGCAGAAAAATGACATGCAGCATCAGAAGTGAAGTGCACACTTCAGGATGGCCTGTCAGAGTCATCAGCGAAAGCACTTTCCAAGCACTAATTTTGTTCCTGGGAGCTAGATCCCTGCAGTGTCTGGGAATAGCTGACTTGGGTAACCTTTGTAGTTATGTAAGCATATCTGCTAGTTTTCAAAAGAAAAAAATTCAAAAAAATAACTTGACAAACTCAAAGCATCTAAAACTTTGCACGAGTCTTTTTTACAAACTAGAATGGAAATGTCCGCAAATGACAGAAGCAGAGAAAGGCCTGCGTGCACAGTGTGCTTGATTTAAAACAAACAAAACTAACAAAAGAAAGGGGAAAAAAAGAAAAAGATCTTCAGATCTTGGAATCTGTCAGTAAGTGTTGCTGGGAAGTGGGCACGAAAACATGTACAGCTCCCCTCCCCAGCCGCTACTCACGTGTTTGTTCTCATGCAGCCCTTTAAAGAGCAGAGACCGAGCGAGCTGTCTGAACACGAACAGTCCCACTGTCTACGTGGGCTTTGGCCAATGGTTTTTTCCCTTCTTCCTACTTCTTCACCGCGTGTTTTGCATGACGCAGTCTGTCGCCTCCATGTCTCCTCTTCACTCTGCTGATATTAGGTATGCTTTTGAAGCACGATGGGATCCACCTGAAACAACTGATGTGAGGAGTGAGATTACGGCTTCTGTCGGATCGTGGGGCAGGGCAGATCCCGGGGTGGGCTGCAAGGGTTAGTGGGGGTGCAGAGGAAGAAGTGGGGAGGGGTGCTCCACTTTCACTACTTTCACCAGCAAGGGTGCCTTGCGTTGCAGAACTAGGTGCCTGGCAAGCAATTTAAAGGCAAAATAGGTAAGTTAAATGGCTGTGTCTTCCACCCACTGCACAGTTCCCACTGATGTTTAAAGAAACTGCATGACTAAATACACCATGCAGCATGGAAAATTTACCCTGAAGGAACTAATAAAAGCCACAAAAGCTGTCTGCAGAATCTTACTGTTTTGTTGCAGCGTGGAAGATACAAATTCTTCCATTTCCAGTGCTTTCTGCAGAATTTGATATGATTGAAGCTCTGCTATACAGATGAATTTCCTATTCATTGGTATAAAACCTAGTCCTTCACAGTAGGTAGGGGCAGTTTCACCAGGTAAAATTCTTGCTAGTCTGGGGGGGGGGGGGGGGGGGGGGTGGGTTTTTTTTTTTAGATTGTGTCGGGTGGGGGGGGGGGGGGGGGGGGGGTATACTGTGTACCTTTGTTGTTTCTTGGTTTGTAGGCAGAGACCGAGACCGTCTCTATCTAGTGTGCTTAGCCTCCTGTCTTAGCCCCTAGCCCTAGATTCATGCGACATAGCTGGTGGCTCTTGATGCAGGAGTGTCACTGTGCTGTCTGTATTTCATCTTTATTTCTTAACTTGTACAGTAGGAAACCCGGTATTGTTTAGACAAAGAGGAAGGTGTATTACTTTAATTATGCCTGCATGCCATATGGATTTCTTGAGGTGTATATGAGCCTCTGCTTCATGTTAATCAAAGGATAGCAGCGCTTCGCCAAGTCAGATCTGTTCAGACTTGCGGCAGCCGGCTCGTTTATTAACCTGACACCATGGGCTTGTGTGATGTTGGGGTTGTGCTTTTGTTCTCCTGCGGAGCCCTAAGTGCCCCGAACTCATGCAGCGCTTCCTGGGGCGGTCAATTCAGCTCTTCCCAGGGTAAGCTGGCTTGCGGACCTGGGTTTCTTGACTACTTACTGCTTTCCTGGACTCCAGTGCTTGGCTTGCTGAGGAGGCCAGCAATCCCCCTCTGAGAGCCCTACAAGCATGAGAAACTATTCCTCCAGATGACTTTTTCTTTTTTCCCTTTTTTTTTCCCCCCTCATTTTTTCTTCTCAAGTCATTCCCACATTACTCTACAGATTCAAGATAGAGATGGACAACAGCTTGGATATACCTGTGTGCTAGGGTACAGGACTTCTGCAGCTCCTGAGAATGCCTCTGTTGAGCTCTTTGTCCCTGGGAGCAGCTCTTCCTGAAGCTGTGTGGGTTGCTTTGTTTGTTTTATGGCAAAGGGAGATTCCTGGCATTTGAAGACTGATGGCTGTGTAGCCTGCCTGTTCTCCAGGAGGCTGAAGCTGGCAGCAGTTTTCTCCCTTTCCAGTAATGGATGCATGTTACGACTAGCTTTGCGGTATCTTTAGACAGAAACTTCTGAAAGTGTAAAGTTGGAGCCTATTTTAAAAAAAATAAAAAAGCTTTTTTTAATTATGCTTCTTGTTTTGAGGCAGAACTTTCTCAAAGGAGAAGCTGTGAAGATCAAAAGGGGAATGAGTCACTGAAAAGCCTGAGTATTTATTAGATAAAAAGAATGTATACGTCGCGGGGGGGGGGCGGGAATCTTATCTAACACTTAGACAAAAATCAGTGGGCTGAGTGGTCCAAAAAGACTTGACTTTTCTTGACATTTCCACTTAGCATAATAGACATTTTGGACCAGTGGGAAATAAATAAGACAGAGGAAATTCCTTGCCTATCTGTTCGCTTGATGACTGGTATGCCTTTGAGAGCAAATGAATGCATATTTGTTTGACACTTTAATTTGAAGTGGAGGTGTGTTTTCCCTTTTATAAACTTGCTGTCACTTGTTTTGTTCATTTCAGCTGGGTTCACTGCGTCACTGCACCAACTTGCTGTATCTCCTAGTTGCCAAAAAGAATTCCCTGTATGGGGTTTTGGGGGGTGTGTGTGTTTTGGTTTGGGTTTTTTAACGCTTGGTGCCTCTGGTGTTGGGCTTAGTCCTTGTTGGCATGGTCAGGGTAACAGCAATATCTGAAAGAGCAATTCTTTTGCACTCATTGGAGAGCTTATAGTCTGAAAACAGGTGCTCGGAACACATTAACATAGCATACAATGTGATGTTACATAGTGAAAGGGGGTGCTAGGACTGATAATTACATTAAGGTAGTCTGCACTAGCTAAATTTGACTAGTTTTAAATTACAGTAAATTGTCTTGACTGTTTGTTGTGTTTTCTGTGTAATGGGCTAACATGCTGCTGCTTGCAAAAACCTGCTTGCCCCTTCTTTTTTTTTTTTTTTTTTTAGCTTAACCATAAAGAAAAGCCTGCTGTAGCATAATGCTTCCAGAGATATTTTCTTAGCTTAGTATTTCTGAACAGCAGCTCGCTATATTTTGTTGGGTCATCCTGTTACATTGATCATTCTTTACAGAAAATTTTTTGTTAACGCCTCCAAAGTCTAATGGTAGCACGCACTTCTCTTCCCCTCTTTCTTCTCAATTTTTTGCAGATTTCTGACTTTGGACTTGCAAAGTGCAACGGCTTGTCCCATTCCCATGACATCAGCATGGACGGCTTGTGTGGCACAATTGCGTACCTTCCTCCAGAGCGCATCAAAGAGAAAAACAGGTGTTTTGACACCAAACATGATGTGTACAGGTCAGTTAACTATGAAAACACTTAAAAGCATTTTAAGTAATACTGTAAAATGAGCCCTCTTTTTCTGGCTATAAAACCCATGAAACTCCTAAATCTAGTTTGAGCCTCATCTTGCAAAGGGTCATGTTTGCTTTGCTTTTTGCAAAGTCTTCATAGGGTAGAGGCCTTTTAACAAACTGCAGCTGATACTAGGTCTTGAGCGTTATCATTGCAAGCAACACTTCTTTATTAGCGACTGGCATGGGGGGCACTCTGCCCATCTTTAACTAACTTCCCCATCAAAAGGTACATCCTGACCTACCATTCGAGTCTGTGACAAAATTCTTAATTATCTTCAGTGGATTTCATCACTAGGTCTTTGGTTCTTCTTTCATGGTAAGGTTATTAGGAAAAGGAAATCATGGCTGTAGATTAAAAGTTATGTCATTCCAAATGGAATGTATTTCTTTAAAGTTGTCTTGCAGGGTAGAAGTATTAAATAAAATCCACAGTAATGGTTTGCTGCTCTCTGATTTTGTCAGTGTTGGTGTGGAGTAGTTGGTAAATGTTACCAAAAACTCAGCAGCCTCCAGCAAGTCCCTGTGTTCGCTGCCTCAGGTTCCTCCCTGCAAAAACTAGACTTTCATGGTTCTTGGCTGCATCTTGCTGTGTGTGTTCATCAGCTGAATTAGATGCAGAAGAGGAGGACAAGGAAAGAGAACTTAGGAAAATAAATTATACTTCTGTGAGATTTTTGGCTTTTTTTTTTTTTTTAAAGCTTTTCTAGAAATTTTTTTTTGCATTTATTTGTAGCTTTTCCATTGTGATTTGGGGAGTTCTTACACAGAAGAAGCCTTTTGCAGGTAAGTTTTTGATGTATTGTGGGTTGTGTTGGAATTTTTTTTCCTTTCTCCTATTGATAAGCACGCTTCTTGCCCCAGCAGCCCCAGGTTACGTGCATGTCCTCTAAATTCCTAGTCTTGTGTGGTAGACACTTTTAAGCTCTCAAATTCTGATCACAAATTTAAGTCCTCCTTTGTCCTACATCATGAAAGCAGAACCCATATTACCGCAGGGGCCTCTAGTCTGCACCTTTTTGCTTCTGCTGGAGTTTGCTGTGCAGAGCCAGGTTAGTGTGTGGCCTCCACAGACTTCTGACATGTTTGCGGCCAACGAGGAACAGTGCAGAGCAAAGCCAACTGGCAGGCAACTGTGCTGTTTTCAGAAACAGCTTCTCTGTAGAGAGGTTCTGTAGTTTATTTGTAGATTGTGGGTACAGATTTGTTCTTAAAAAAAAAAAAAAAAAAAGCTGTCTGTGAGAATAAGGCTTGTTCCACCCCGTAGTAAATGTACCGATCAACAGGCAGCTATTTACTCTTTATGACTTTTCCTGTGTATATGACTACCTATGTATAGCAAACATGTTTGAACAGGTTCCAGTCTACTATTAACTTTTCTCCAAGTGAGAGATCCCATTTAGCCGAATGGTTGACTTCAGAGTCAAGAGCCACATGACTGCACTGCTTGATTTGTGTTCTTCCTTCACCTTTATGAAAAGTTCAGGTACCTTGTCTAAATAAAAGCTGTGGTTCAGTTTTCTTACAACAGATAGGGAAATCCAAAGAGAGGTAGCAAAGAACTCTTTTTTTTCCCTTTGGTTCTGTGTCTTTTATGGGTGGAAAAAGAACACAGTCACTCACTGACAATTGTTTTTAACTGATACACGGGAAGTAGGTGTTACTGCATTGATGAATGTATTGTGAGAGAGTAAGACCAACTTCTTTTTCCCTGGTGATAAAAGAAAGCACTCTAAATCTAGAAAAAAAAGGCATGAAAACAAAATTTCAGCCTAATACACTGTTAATATTCTTAGGCAAAAGAGAAATCATTCCTTTTGCTGGGAGATCTTAATTTGTGTGCTTTTGCTTTACAGAGGAAAACAACATTTTACATATTATGGTAAAAGTAGTTAAAGGCCACCGCCCAGAGCTGCCTGCTGTTTCCAAATCCAGACCTCATTCATGTAATAACTTGATCAAACTGATGCAAAAATGTTGGCAAGATGATCCTGGTGAACGGCCAACATTTCAAGGTAAGATTTCCTTGTAACTTGGCTGCCCATTTATTCTTCTATGAGTCATGTTATTGCTCAGGACTCTGTTAATCCTTGGGGTAAATGCTGTGAACCTCTGTGACAGAATAAATAGAGCACATTGTATGGTAGAGACAATGATACAGGCCACTTACTCATTTGTGGAGGAAGGGATTATCTGGGGACAAGTCTGACCATGATGGGGTTATGTAAACGCATCAGGAATAAGACCTGTACTGAACCAGTTGATCCATTTAGCCAGAAATTATGTTAATTTCTGATTGTGTGTATCAGGGCATATGCCAAGCTGGAGTTACGGTTTTTGCCATACCAAAATATTGAAGGCCCTGGCTCTTGAAATTTACTGTTGTATGCTGAGAAACTGGATTGTTTTCTTGTAACAAACAATTTGTACTGTCATTTTTCTGCCAATAAAAGGCAACTCTGGTGAAAGGCTTGAACTTGCCCAAAGCACCTGTTATGAATTCAAACTGCAGAAGGATGTAGCACGTGCTATCTCCAGGTTGCTTCATTTGGCATTAATGGGAGGAAGAGATTTGCCTCTTCCCTTTGCTCCTGCCTAAGAGGGATCCCATCTTTTTAAAAACAAATGTCTAACTCTGCCAGCAGTAGACTGGTTCCCATTTCGCAGTCCTGCAGTGTAGCCGCCATGTAACATCAGTCTAGTCTGAATGTGAAAATGAATTGTTCAGTCAGCCCTATGCACTCTTTTCTTAGCTACACACTTGTACCTACTGATGAGGTGCTAGATGGAATTGGAGTCTTTCTCCCACAGTATCTCAAAGCTGTTAAGCTCTAATGATAGAGAAAAGCAGCAGGGCATCTCAGAAAAGTCTCCTACTAAAAAAAACCCAAACCCTTCTCTTGCTTTCTTCAAAGAAATCACTTCAGAAACAGAGGCCCTTTGTGAAAAACCAGAAGATGAAACAAAAGAGATTATAACTCAGGACCTGGACACCAAGAATTCCCCAGAGCAGCAGCCTGAGGTATTTTCTCTTTCCGCCTCTTGTTCAAGCACACTGGGTTTTGTGGGGAACAGGTTCCTCTGTGACCTGTAACTTCCCAAGCAGCCTTCTCTTTGCTGCTTTTGAGCACCTTCTTGCTTGGTAGAAGTGGGTCTTGGTGAAGGACTGGAATGCAAAAGTGACAGCAGATGGATGGACCAGCTCAGGAAAACCTCAGTGCAGGACTAAGTGCAAGTGAATCTTAGACTGTTGAGGGAGAGCAGGACAGTTAGGAAATAAAGGCTGGAACTACGTGGGTGTGACTGATCTTAAAAAACGCTGTAGACAGAAGAGCCATGCGGCTTTAGTGGCTGTGTGAGTACTGATGAAAGCTGCCCTCCTGCATCTGAAAATTTTTCAGTGACCTTATTCATAGGTTTCATTTAATACGAACCATGCTGAAAGGCTACCTGCAAACTAAAACACTTAGCATTTCTTCCTGTAGGGCCTCGTGCTCAGTTTTCTTTACTGACCTTTCTAAAATGCTTGTGTGCTTCTCTTGAAGGGGATGTCTGCATTATCCCAGCCGAAACAGGAGCCTGCTCTACCATCAGTTAAGGATTACAGTCTCTCAGAGTTGTTGTCCCAGCTGGACTCGGGGATTTCACAGACTATGGAAGGCCCTGAGGATCTCAGCCGCAGCTCTTCTGAGTCCAAACTTGCCTCCAGTGACAAGCGGCTTTCAGGAGTTTCATCTGTAGATTCAGCTTTTTCATCCAGAGGCTCCCTTTCCCTTTCCTTTGAAAGGGACAGTTCAGGTAATGGTCAGTTTTTCTTCTTTGTTCTTGTTTTTTTTGTAGTTGTTTGGACTGGGGCATGGGAGTCAATGGGTTGGAGAGTAGTCATATAAAGAATAGCATTCTGGAAATCACTGTTAGCCTTGCTTTCTCTTGCTGTCAGCACTACAAATTTGTTTACTGGAGGTAGTTATTTAAAAAAAAAAAGAATGTGGTGGTTCCCAAACATGATCTAATGAGAAATAATAAATCTTATTTACTTTTGAAAAGAAGTGACCTGAATTCCCATCAAAGCAATTACAGAATCAGTCATGTAAAGGTTGGTGGGAAGGGAGGTCACCTAGTCAGCATCCCGCTCTAAGTGCGACTAAAGCTAATGCCCAGTCAGGTCAGCTGAGTTTGTGGCTTTTTCAGTTATACTAAGCCCAAGCCTGAGCACCTTTTTTTTTTTTTTTTTTTTTTTTGAGAAGACTGAAGCCACCTTCTCAGCAGCCCCCATGAACATTGTAATAAGGACCCCTGCTGTTGCACACATGACCCTCCCTTTTCAATCCAGTGCTGCAAAAACCAGGCATCTATTTTCCAGTTAGGCAAACAAGGATTAGTGCAGGGAGATCAATCACAGCACCCTTTGTTCTTCATTTCGCAAGAAATAGAATAAGAGTAAGTGGGGCTCCAAATCTGACCTGCAATTGTTCTGAAACTATTGTGAGGGGCATGGGGGGTTTTTTCTTTGCAGTCAGGCTGTTGCTGAAGCCACCAGGTATATTAGCCATGGGCAAGTAAGGTTTGAGAGGTATCAGATTTGTCTTTTTCATGAAATCATAGAATAGTTTGGGCTGGAAGGGACCTTTAAAGGTCATCTAGTCCAGCCCCCCTGCAATGAACAGAGACATCTTCAACTCGATCAGATTGCTCAGAGTGCTGTCCAGCCTGACCTTGAACGTTTCCAGGGATGGGGCATCTGCCACCTCTCTAGGCAACCTGGTCCAGTGTTTCACCACCCTCACTGTAAAAAATTTCTTCCTTATATCCATCTAGATATTGGTACTACCGACATACAGAAGAGGAAGCTAACGGAGGCCATTTTATCTGGAGATACTGGCAAGCTGATGAAGATCCTCCAGCCTCAAGATGTTGATATTGTTTTAGATGGGAACTCCAGTCTTTTGCACTTGGCTGTTGAAGCTGGTCAAGAAGAATGTGTCAAATGGCTCCTCCTGTACAATGCTAACCCTAACCTTACCAACAAGAAAGGATCCACCCCTCTTCACATAGCTATTGAGAAGAAAGTTAAAAGTATTGTGGAGCTGATTATGGCTAGGAAAATCAATGTTAATGCCAAAGATGAGGATCAGTGGACTGCTCTTCACTTTGCTGCCCAAAATGGGGATGATTTCAGCACCAAAATGCTGCTTGATAAGAATGCATCCTTAAATGAGGTAGATTTTGAAGGCAGAGCCCCCATCCACATAGCCTGTCAGTACGGCCAAGAGAATATTGTGCGAATCCTGCTGAGAAGAGGTGTTAATGTGAACATCAAAGGAAAGGATGACTGGGTGCCACTGCACTATGCTGCCTGGCAAGGTCATCTCCCCATTGTAAAGCTTCTGGCCAAACAGCAGGGTGCAAACGTGAATGTGCAGACCATGGATGGAAGGACCTCGCTACACTTGGCTGCTCAACGAGGACACTACCGTGTCGCTCGCCTTCTCATAGACCTGGAGTCGGATGTCAACATACAGAATGTGCTCTTGCAGACTGCTCTCCACATAGCTGCTGAAACCGGCCACACAAGCACGTCGAGGCTGCTCCTTAAACATGGTGCAGACATTGAGGCAGCAACAGCAGAAGGATACACAGCTCTGCACTTGGCATCTCGCAGCGGCCATTTAGCAACAACAAAGTTGCTGATAGATGAAAGGGCAAGTGTTCTAGCCAGAGGCCCTTTAAATAGGACAGCGTTACATCTTGCTGCAGAAAATGGGCACTCTGAAGTAGTAGAAGAACTTGTCAGTTCAGAAAATATCAATGTTTCTGACAGTGAAGGGTTGACAGCTCTTCATCTGGCTGCACGAGGAGGGCACACAAAAACAGTTGAGGTTCTTCTGAAGCACGGGGCACACGTTGACATGCAAAGACCCACGTGTCAGACCCTGCTACAGCTTGCTCAGCAGAGCAGTAATAGCTCAGTTACTGTGTTGTTAAGTGAGACTTAAGCAAAAGGTACAGAACATGCTACCTTTCTACATGGTGCAAGAAGGCTGCTGGAGCATAAATCATGAGGGCCTTCTCCAGTTGTGCAGTGACCTGCTCATCAGCAGTGTCCGCTGACGGACTGAGGTGCAACCAGCAGAAGCTACTTGTGTTTGAGAGTGCGAGAGCGCACATGGACTAAGGCCAGATGTAAGGCTAAGAGCTGGAGTCTGCCATGCCGTGGCCTGGATCAGTCATTCTGTATGTGCCTGCCCTGTCTGTACATTGACATTCCCCTCCCAAAGGATGTTGTGAGAGAAGGATGCAACTTGTGGGTTTCCCCCTGCTTTTTTTTTTTTTTTTATGTGCCAAACTAATTTAAGAACTAACATTCTGCTTTTTTATTTTCATCCAAAAAAAAAAAAAAAGGATGGCATAGATTCCTGGTTTATTGCAGCGATCTATATTTTGGGCTGAAAGCCTCCAGTGTAAAATAAACACAACACAAATCTGCTTGAAATTAATGCAAGAGATGAGGAAAGGGCTATTTAAGATATGGTTAATCATGTTTCAGTGTCAGAAGGTACTCTGTTTCATGGAGACATTGATTACAGATTTCCATGTACTCAAAATTGATGAGGCAGACTTATTAACAAGGCAGGATCCCAAAACTACATAAGCAGAAGTAAAAGTTTAACACTGGCATCTTCATATACAATACCACCTTGTATGTATTCTAAGATTAGCAAGCTGAACTAGGTGCTTAGTGGTTTGCCTTAAATGAAAAAGTCAAAAGCTAAAATTCATACTGGACTGTAACTGGATGGTATATTCTAACACCATTATACCACTTTGCAAAACAATGTTTGGAGGGGCTGATGACTAGACTGATATACTGTGTATATAGTATTTCTACCTGTTGTATGCTTTTTTTCTACTGAAGAAAATAGATTGCTTAGAGTGGGTATGTTTTAATACACCTTTTAATTTCACTCTTTTCAAAGTTCAAATGTGATCTGTTATTAATAAAAGATTGTGTTATATACCTGTCTCTATTTTGTTAAAATTTTTGTTAAAGCAACTGAAAACCCATTGACCAGCAGCAGCCCACAACTGTAATGGGTTTAATGCTGTTGAAGCCCGAACCGTTGACACGTAAGGCTGTCCTCAGTTTTACATACCCCTTAGCTTTTATATGGCAGGTAGGGAGCTTGAGTGAATTGGAGGTGTTATTTACAGAATAAGTTTATAGAATAAAACCCCACATAATCTAGCCTTTATGTGCACAACACATTGATCTACAGCTGGGATGCTTTCCTCTTAGCTATAGCTGTTCAGGGAGTTTAGTTTTCTTCCGTACCTTGAAGCCAAGTCAAATGCTTTTGCATCTTCCCTGTTGACTAGCGAGCTGCTGCCCAGGCAGGTCCCTCGCCTCTCCTCGGTGGCGTTCCCACCACGCGTGCCACAGAGCGAGCAGCAGTGGCGTGCTTTGCTCCCGCCTCCCAACAGGAAAGCTACTCTTGCTCAAGAGCTTTTTTGCACATACCCGATGGCAGTGATATGAATGCCAGTGCTACCTCAGTATCTGATTTTAGGAGTCAAAGTGCTCCTGTGGGAATCCAGCCCCATGAAAGTAAATACTTCCTTAAAAACCAAAACCCAGCCTCCTGTCATTGGAGATGGCAGTGGCTCAGGGCCATAACCAACAGAGAAAGGGTGCTTGCAGAGGGAGCAGGGACCCTGCTGCTGTTTGATACTGGTCCTGGCTCCAAGTTGGTGCCTCTATGTACCTGCATGCAGCTCCCCTAGTTCAATTTCTTAAATTTCAAGACAGTTCACTGACTGCCTAATGAAACTACTAAAGAATAGATGGTGAAGCCATGCTCATGCCAATATATGGAGGTTACAAAGCAATGTACCTCTTACCGGAGCATGGCAGTCACAGCAAGCTTCCTAAAGGTGCTGACAGTGAAACTTCTCATTAAACAAACAAAACTGTAATTTTCTTACTGCTTCCGTCAACTTCTTTTGAGACCAATAAGGTCGTCATGTTTCATTAAGCTGTACTTACTTAATCAGTCTCCCTTTATAGCAACTTCAACCGCAGCCCACTTCGTCTCTCAAGTCCTGTGCCACTGTGATTAACCACTTGGCCCAGCCTCGCACGCACCATACCCTTCAGTTTCAACGTCCTCAAACAGTAAGGTTTGAGATACTTTAATTCCAGCGGTATTTGCCTGAACTGCAAAAGAGCTGTAAGACCAGGTAATAGCAGTCTTGTGCCTCCTAATAAAGGTGGTGCATGCCAGCTAGGCAAGGGGAAAGTACACTTATAAAATGCTTTTAAAACAGCTTAAGCACTGCTTCGCCAGTACATTCCTTCAGTGCCTAATAATAATAGCATATTAGCTTCTAATTAAACATGAGGCCACACTCACTCATGAGTCTTTATTTTCCATGCCATCTTTCACAACAACAGGCACCAGCTATGCATCACATAGAAGGCAACACAGCTGGTGCTGGAAAAAAAACCCAACAACAGGATTGCAATGACACGCTGCCAGTATTGGAGTGGGTATTTGTCCCTGTGACCCAGCCTTCCTTGGGGGCAGGGGGGGGAACGGGGATGCTAAATTAACACTAATGCAGCAATTACGAATTATTGTTTCGTAAAGGTCTCCTGCGGGTGACTTTCCTGGTCATATGTGTACTCCTCTGACTTAGCTGGAGTCCTAACTGGGCTGCTGACCTAAAGCTTACAGGCATTTCTTTGCCTCTTTATTCTTTAAGAAAATACCTGAAAAATACAGAGAACGACCTAATGACAATACCAGGCTTTGTCTCTACTTACCTACAAAAAAAACCAAACCAAAACAAAAAAACCCTCTACTAAAAGAAAAAAGAAATCCCCAGACCCTACCATAAATGCACGCTCGGTACCATTTGGCTTCTTTTCCCTCTTTGAGCTGGCAGGTTGAACTCGGCTGCCCCAAGTCTGAAAGGAAACCTGTTCCCCCCCTACTTTCTGCCAGCTTCCCTCCCTCGACTTCAGCTCAGGCGCTGAAGGAAGCCAAGGCAACGGCGCGAACCAGCCCCTCAGCCGCGGGCTCTGCCCACTCACCCGCCAGCTCCAGCCCTCACGCAAACCCCTAAAACGTGCACAAAACCCCGCGTGCTCGGGAAGCGGGTTTGAGAGGTGGTGTGAAGGCATGGAGGGCTCCGTAGAGCTGAGTCTTGCTGCAGGTCGCCCTTGCTGCCTAACTGCTCCCTGGCAGCAGAAAGGACTGCAAGATGAACATAAGCTCCTCTTGCTCTCTTCCAAAATCAGGCAGAGGTTGCTTGCAGGGTTTCTGTGTACACCGTGTTCGCCTGCTTCCTTAGGGCTTCTGACCATGGCCCCAAGTGGCTATTTCAGCCCAAGGAGTAACAAACATAGGAAAAAAAGATAGAGTGAGATGGTGTCAGTGACCATAAGCTTCACCTTTTTATCTCTAGACGTGATTTTTCAACCTGGCCTCTGCCTGCATGCCTGCGGTAACATAGCCTGGGTTTCTGCCAGCACCCACTGGTGCCAGCTCCCCATGCAGGAGCCCCAGCAGCAGGGAAGGTGCCTCACACCATCCCCGTTCCTCACTCCTCCATCCCAGCCTCCGCCTCCGGGGGATAGCGTAGCCCCTGATGCATTACCTGTCTTCACAACAGTTTGTTCCCAGCACCCGTAGCTTTATTTACCTGCTACTTAGCACAAGGCGCTGGAGTGCCGTGTTTCTACAGGCCTCGAGAGGACTCAACAAGCCTGTGGTTCAAACACGCTCGCTCAGCGGTGGCAGCAAGGGGAGAGGATTGCTGGGTGATTGCAAAGAGGCCCAGAGGCAAACCTCAGCCCTTTCATTCCTGCCTCCTCTCTTGCACCACCTTGGCTCTGCACAACAGGGTTGCAAGAAAAACAAGGCGTGTGGGAGCTGCTCTACAAGGTCTCCTTTAGCGGAGAGGTGTGAGGGGGGGATATCTGCTCTCCTCCACGCTCCTTTAACCCCAGCTGGGTGGCATAAGGTGCAGCCTGGCTTGCAGGTGTCCCCAAAAACCCAGGCAAAACCTTCGAGTGCCACGGTGCTCTGCTGCTGGGGTGCAAACCTGCGTTACCTCCCCAGCTGCCCCTGGGCCTTGGGGAGAGGGCATCCAGTCTTTCCCCTTCCCTCCCTGTCACAGGGAGGACTTTCTTCAAGCAGCATTGATTTTGATCTGTTTCTTTGAAGGAGACCCACACAAGCAAGGAAGAGCGAGCCCTCGGCTTCTTTACACACAAGTCCCGGGGACAGGGGTTTGAGATAAGATGTCAGCTGTGCTTAGCCTGTCCTGTTCTTTGGCCAAAACTGCCCGCACATGCGCCCAGGTCTCTGCATGAAGCCTTTGACTGCTTTTGCAACACCGGTTCAGTATGGCAGAGGGATGGATCATGCATGGCACTGCTCCACTCCCTCCCCTCTCCCTGCTTTTGGGACGCACTTTAACCCGGGGGCTGTGGCAAAACGCCGAACACCGGCACTCCTATCTCTGACCCGAGCCGGGCAGAGATTCACAGCCCAAAGCGAGTGCTGATTAAACAGAGCGTAACAGCACAGGAAGCCCTTTCAACAGGGGAGATGGCAGAAGGCAGATCCCAACACGTTGGGCCGCTGCGGTCGCTCGGCGGCTGAGAGTCACGGGCTGCCGGCAGCGAGACGTGGGGCCGGGGGGCAACGTGTTGCGGCTGGGAGCAGTGCGGGGAGGCTGTGCCGGTGGGGAGGCAGGCACGACACCGGGCTGGGCTGGGAAGCCCTCGCTGCTGCACCGGCGAAGTCCTGAGCTTGTAGGGAACCCCATGGCAGCCACTTGAGGAAAAAGGGGGGTTAAAAATCACTGCTGCCACCACCTTATTTACCTTGTGTTTTTGAAATGCTGTGGGAGAGGCTTTCAGGCTTTTCTCTGCAGTAATGTAGAGCAAAGACCATTTAAAAGCTAACAAAGAGCAACTCGCGATCTG